CTCCAACAAATTGCATAAATCGAAGTACGATTAAAGTCTTCAGACTCCCATCTATTTATAGATAATGTAGACGAATTCCTTATCCAATTGGTGAAAGATATATAAAATCATAATTCGACAAGGACAAGTACACAAAATCCTAATTGTACAAGGACATGATTCATTAAGGTCGACCTCTTTGCACAAATGGTCGACCGTGTTGGGTAAATGTGAAACAGGTCGACCTCTTTACTGAAATGGTCGACCATTGTTTATAAATGTGAAACAGGTCGACCTCTTAACAAGAATGGTCGACCGTATTTTATTAAGGCCAAACTGACGAGATTCCATCCATGTTCTACATGGTTTTTCACTTTGCTACGGTATCATAGGTCGACCTTTTGCGTCACGTGGTCGACCTGTGCTCTGCCTTTGGGTATGCCCGCTTTGAGTATGTGGTCGACCACTTGTTCTAGACGATTGAAATCGTAAATTCAGTCACATCCCTAATTGTATATCAAATCTAATAAACGATAAACATTCAAAATCCAAAATGAAACGATCTCGCAAATACAAATTCAATGTATGGTCCAAATAATGCGACATTGTAACTTAACGACTTCATTTCTTTGCTTTTTTGTTTGAACTCTGTCTCTCTTTGCCTCGTTCCATGCATTCATCTACTACATGCTTGAAAAGATTTTCTCGTGCAAGGTTTTCAAAATGTGTAGCCAGATACCATAGAATCTCCTTTCGCGCCGGTAATTTGTGTTCTTCTCCTATCTGCATTATGCCATGTAAGATTTCGTTACAACTAAAAAAAGTGTAAATTAAACAAGTTATTTGTTTGACGATATACTCACCACTCTATCAAGATCCTTGGATCCATAGCGCATCCACTGCATGACGTGCACACCACACTCAGTACTATTCCTTTGCCGTTGAACTCGTAGCTCATCAAAATTGAAATCTCCAAAATTTGGTACTCCTACATTGCTCATGCGCTCCGGTTTGAAAATATCATCCAAATTGGACAACTACACAAAAATAATGAATATTTTAAGTTTCTAGCATAATACGTGACGCTTAACAGTCAGAAAATTATAGAAAACACTTACCAATTTCTTGCATAGTGCTGATTTACGCCTACGATTCGCCTCACTAGTTGAAGGTAGACTGTCAAGCAAAAATGCAGTTTTTTGCTGGACATTGACGAGATACAGAAACCAATGACGTGCTTTATCGTCAAGAACTGGCATAAATATCTAGCAACGAAACACTCACTATATTTTATAAACAGCGAATACAAACAAATGCACTTTCGAAATTTAATGATAGAGGGACATTGACTAGACTAACCTTCTGGCATGCACTGACATTCGGCATAAAGACCACGCCATCATTCATCAACTTGTTACGAATTTGTCTGGTCTTCATGTTAGCGCGTACCATTTTCTGCAGCATGTTTTAGTTGAGATGAATTGACATGGTACAATATAAATATCTAGGTTATGACAAATAATTTGACATTACGGCTCTTACCGAAAACATATTTTGCAAATACCACACATTTGGCTCTTTCACATCATGTTTTTCAGACATTGTTAGTGCCCTTGCACACAAATCCACTACCTACCATCCAGCAATCAAACACAAAATCATCATAAATCGTAACATAAATAGTGCACAATTCATACGAAAGTCGTAGTAGTATAGTACTTACTGATGAGCAAACCCAGCTATTCTCGCTAATGACCGAACTCAAATAATGTCGTTGCACGTTTTCAGAAAAAAAGTCCACAACGGTCAAACTGCAAAAATCAAAATAACAGAAATGTCAATTGTGATTTGCAACGTACAGGTCGACCTGTTCACAGTCACGGTCGACCTTATTGGAAAAGCGGTCGACCTCATAACCGATCCGGTCGACCACACGTACTAAAAAACGTCTTACTTGTCCCAATTCTTGTCCCCATCCTTCTCTTTAGTAACAACATAATACAAGTCTTCAACTGGATTTTGAAGATTTTTGGTGAATCCTTCTAAACCCTCCACTTTCATGACCGACAAATCATAGTTAAAATTAAAGTAACATATGAACACAAACACACATTATAGATGAATATGTAACGTAAACTTACCCCGTGCTTTTCGAAAGGACTCTTAGATTCTTCTTCATCGCTATCATCACTAAATAATCCTTTTCTTACAAATTGATCCTTCTGTGGAGTGGTGTAGGAGTCACTTTCATATCGAGGTCTCTTGTACTTAGGAGAGGAACCCTTGCTGCCATTCGTTGTTTCACTCTGTCAAACATATAAACAAAACAAATTAGCACTAATGATAGTAATACTAATATCTTCAATCACATATGAATATACTTGGATACCTTTAAAATGTGCTCTTTCAATAAATCGTCTATGCTCTGGTAGCAATTTTCAGAGTCATCATGGTCTTCTTCCTCTTTACCAAAGTCAAATTTCTTTCCTTTACCATTTCTTCCGCCATTCTCCATTCGTTCTGCACTTATATCTTTGATAGCACCTTCTAGCCTCTCAAACCTGTCATGCATCATCCCAGTAATATCTGTCAGTCGAACTGACAATTGCTCCACTCTATCACACATGGACTTCTGAAAGTCATTGACTTGTGTTTGACACACCACCAGCTTCTCTTGTGTGGCTTTCAACAATTTCATGATTTCACCCAAATCTTGATGCAGTTTCTCATCATGCGTCATTGTCTAAACAATTTCAAGAAAAATTTAAATCATAATTCAACTACAAATTTCTACAATTGACCAAAAAACAAAGACGTGGTCGACCTGACAAAGTATTAGGTCGACCTGGAAGACAAATAATGACTACCACAACCATTAAGGTCGACCTCTGTTATTCCTAGGTCGACCTATCCAGCAGGAAAATAACAATTAACAACAAAAAGTAAGTTCAAAATTAAACCGAAAAAAGGATAGGTCGACCAGATATCTGGTGCGGTCGACCTTTTCAAGCACAACATAGTCATACAATCAAAGCCAAAGTCGACATTCAGGTTGAATAACCAAAAAAACAGGAACGGTCGACCTTGAAACCCATTAGGTCGACCAATTGGGTTACCTCGCAAGTACAGAAATCCAAGTGTTGTGGCCTAAATTCAAATACGCAGAATTGTCTCGTCAGGTCGACCTGGTTGACGTCACGGTCGACCGAATGGAATTCTGCACCCAACAATTTATCAAATTAGCCGGTAGAAATCACGCATTAGAAAAGAAGACGACGAATGGTACATTAGGTCGACCTCACCTTAGACCTGGTCGACCACTTCCAACGCGTACAACAGCAACCGCGAACGATCTTCTTCACAAAGGCTCTTAATCGGAAAAAAAACCTAATTCAGACTTGGAGGCGTTGAAGGGGACTAATATTCGTATTTATAGAGATTTGGGACGTCAATGGGTCGACCCAATTCGTTTCCTTGTCCAATTGTGGAACCTTTCTGGTGTTGGAATCCATATCCAATACGGATACGGTGTGAAGGCGTTCGACCTCTTCCTAATGCGGTCGACCTGTTAGGTGCACAAGGGTCGGCCTATGAGATATTTGGGTCGACCTTTCATTCTGTTAGACCACCAAAGCGGTCGACCGTATTATGTAAGAGGTCGACCGCGTCTTGGAATCCCACATACATGAATTAGTCGATTCGGTCGACCGCCTTCAACAATAGGTCGACCGAAAAGTCCATGTCACGGTGACATGCATGTCACCGTAGCAAAATCCTATAAGCATGTCATCGTAGCAAAATCCTATAAGTAATTGTCGGTTTAACAATTACAGAATATATTTCCTTTCATGGAGGGGGGAAAGATTTGGGGTAACAAACTGATTTGGCTATATTGTTGCGTGCATCAACAATTGTCATGTTGCAAGGGAATAATGTAAGAAAATTATTTTGGAATATTTTTTAACCACTCAGATTTATTGAGACGGTTTCAATCATGATTAAGGCTAATATTGATAATTGAAAATTATCTTCAAGGGTTTTGATTTGGATTCGTTCGTTGGATCTCCTCGGACATAGAAGAAACTCGTGGAAAGGAGGATGGCCCTCATAATCTACTCTTCGATGTTCAAATTAGTACCAGATTAGAGTTTAATGGTGGGTTTAATCCTTATATAGGGTAAAGGCTTGGACCATTGTGGAAAGTTTAATGGTGGCTTTGAGCCCTTGGTGAGATGTTTACGGGTGGGTTTGGGCCCTTGTGAGATTGTTTGGAGGGGACTTGGACCTATAAACAACGTGATATTTGTCATAGTAGAGTAGTAAATATCCCATATGTTAAAAAGAAACACCGCAATACCATCTCGTTTTAATTTTGTGGGTGATTGCCAACTCGTATTATCTAGTATACACCATTCAAAGAAATGATATAATCATAAATGAATATTTATTCGAATGATAATCATCGTCTATATAATACAAAATTTATGGGCATTTGTCAACTGGTATTATCAACAAAGCAAAGATACACAACTCAAAGAAATGATATACACATCACAAACTAGAATAAAAGTGCTATTGGACTCATAAGAAACAACCAAAATTAACTCCAATGCATCCTATTGTTTTGACGAGTGACGACCAACAAATCTCACTTGACCCACAGATAATCAAAAACGATTTCGAATATACAACAACAAAATCACTCCTCCATGACCATGATCCACCTTGCCTTAACATTTTACGAAGAAAACAAATAAGTAACTGTTGGGATGAATAGCTTTGAAAAGCTATAATGAAATTCCTAATTAATTATCCAGTATTTTCCATAATACGAAATTAAGATGGATAATTAATAAAAAGAATATTATGGAGGTAATTATGAATAATTATCTTAATAGATTATATTTTAATTATGGGAGTAATTATCTCCCTAATTAAAATATGACTATTCCTAAAGAAAGAGAGAATATTGTGGGTTTTCTGCTCCTATAAATAGGAGACGCCCCAGACCCTCTAACCACACTTCAGAGAGCATAAACACGAGAGAGAGTGAGATTCAAAGAGCTCCGGTTTTCCGCACAAAACCACTGAGTAAATCAAAAGAGTGGCTGTTTTATCCTGGAGGCGACCGGCTGATAGTCTGCTGTGCGAATAACGAGGCAGTGCCGCGAACGTCTTAAAGAGAGCGACCTAGTCCGCGACTCAGCCAGATTCAGTAACCCTAATTTTTCTGTTCGATTTCTAACAATTTTAAGACGTTGCGTTGCTGTTAAGTGAATCGAACATATTGCTGGATTTGGCTGTCGCTCATCGCCTTTGCCATAAGAAAATCTAGGCAAGCCGCTGGTTGGTGATTGTCCATGCGCAGTTCAAAGAGCTGCGATTCAGCAACCACAGAGAGACTCCAAGGAGAGCTGCTGAACCCAGAAGTGGCTCTTGCCGAAGTAACTTTTCGATTCCGATCACGGGGAAAGTAAATTACAAGAAAATGAAGGGTTCCCAGAACCTTCGACAGAGGCTTCTGCTATCGACGCTCTCCGGCACTCCTATTCTCGTCGAAGACATTCGCGCCGACGACAAATTGCCCGGCCTCCGCCCCCATGAAATCTCTCTTCTCCGCCTCTTTGACCGAGTCACCGATGATTGCGTCGTCGAAATCAATGATACCGGTACGAAGTTCAAGTACAAGCCTGGTGTGGTTATGGGGGGAAGGCGTGTTGCTCATGACTGTGGTGTGAGTCGAGCAATTGGATATTTTCTGGAACCTTTGATTGTTCTTGGATTATTTGGCAAGAAGCCGCTTGAGATAAGGCTCAAAGGGATTACGAATGACTCGAAGGATCAATATGTAGACATATTTCGCTCGACTACCCTGCCAATATTAAGGCGATTTGGATTCGGACATGGTCAAACTTTTGGGCTTTCTAGTAGTCGTGGATTGGTTCTGGGCCGAATAAAAGAAAAGTGGAATGGGACCTCTGCTTCAGAGATGAAAGAAGCTCAAGTGGACCTAGAGGGCAAGTGTTTGCCATCATGGAATTGGGGCTCTCCCATATGCCGAAATTGCCATCATCTGTTGGCTATTCGGTTGCAAAGTCAGAGACAATTACTTTCGAAAAGAGGTAAGCACGGAAACTCTCTTTCTGAGTCATCAATGATGATTAAATAGAATCTATGTAATATAGTGTTATGCATGGAATTGTTATATCTTGTGAATGCTAGAGAAATTAGAATTAATATATTGATATTGAGATGTGATTTCCTCAATAATTAGAGTACAATTTTGTGTACATGAAGTATAGTAATTTTAACTATATAATTGCATACTCTGAAGCATATACGTATGTATATTGTGTGGTAAATATGCTAGTGGAATGGTTGTATGCCATATTTATTTTAGAAGAAGTACTAGTTGTTAGTACTATGAGAACCATTCGTATATCTTGAACCCTAATAAGGTTCAAGAATCAGGATAGCAAATCGAATCAGATCCACACCAATTAGAATGGTACTATTCGTGGTAACCAAAGGATCTTCGGCCAATCCTCCAAGAATGACTTAGGTCATATGACACGAAAGTGTAGCAAATTTAACATTGTTTCAAGTGTTAGCTTGACTTAAGAGAAGGATTGATGGTTGTGATGATTATGAAAAGTGCAGAGATTAACCTTGCTGGTAACTCTGAATAATAGTGGCTGAATACTAGTACCTCGACGCATACTAAGGCATATGCTATTAAGAAAGTGGTCTTGAGCACCTCTCACACCACTATTAATGATGGCCATAGAGAGTATGCATATGATGATATGTTTAACTTTAAAGTCAATCGTTGAATTCTTTTGTGTCTGGCATGCACGTCTTTGACGTATATCGTGAGGAATTGAAAGATAGAGTCACATTCTCATAATAGTTTGTGATAAATATATGATTTTCATAGACAAACTAAAAGACCCATAATTATATGACTAGAGAATCAGAATCCTTGTATCTGATTATTTTGAAATGGGTGAATGTAATGAGATGACAATTTGGAATAATGTGAAATGTTTTATCACATTATTATTGATTGCACTAATTAAAGATGTTAAGTTGTTGACATATGCTTTTGACGTAAAGCGTTATTTATGAAATGTTTTTTCATATGGTATAGTTCGAGAATTAGTGCAATATAAGATGAGCATGAGAGTGTTTTATTGGTTGTGTTATCAAAAATAGAACACATAAGCTTATAAAATGAAATACTCATTGTTATGTGGAGTCCATTGATGTCATTCCATTTAAATCGCGAAATAGTGGGGGTGATGTCTTGTCTGCTATTAGAAATAATGGATAACTAGTGGGGGTGATGAATTTGAGTATGAACTCACAAGAGACAAATGAATCATAAATCAATAAAGGATTTTGGTTATGAATTTGTTATTTACACCCTAAGAAAGAAAGATCCTACAAGTCTGCTAGAAGTTCGAACTTCCATAAAGATGCAGAATTGTGGGAGAATCCATTATTAACGAAATGGAATTATTGGAGTCTAACAAGACTTAAAATCTTGTAGAGTTACCTCTTGGTTGAAAAGCCTTGGGTAATATATCGATAGAATCGAACAAGATTTGGCATCTTTGAGAATTACCTCTTGGCAATGAAGCCAAGGTAATAAATGGATTCCTAAAAGGAAAACTGATACATGATGGTTTAGTTTATGAGTATAATGATCGCCTAGTAGCGAAGGCTTTAGGTGAAAATAAATTGTAGATTTCTTTGATATCTATTCACCAATATGTAGAATAACATCCATCACATGGACGTTAAAATACTTTTTTGAATGGTGATTTGAATAAAGAAATCTACATTGGGACAATCTTAAATATGTACACCTGCATACATGTTTGATGGTGCTAGTATAAATTTAAAGAACACCTAAGACGGTGTAAGAAAGTTAGAATATACTAGCATTTACAGTCTGCGAGAGGCAGCTGATAAACATGAGACCCGATTTAGTGGGGGTACTTGGCAGGATTATTGATTGTCCTAGTATGAAGCATTGAAATGCTATTGAAAGGGTCATGAGACACCTTAAAAGAACAGAAAAAACCTTGGTATTTGTTATCAAAGGTTTTGCTGTATTGGTAGGGTATAGTGATGCGGATTAGAATACCCTATAGAGGACTCCAAGACAACAAGAGGATGTGTTTTAAAACATCGATAGAGAAGCTATGTCTTGGAAGTCTAAGAAGTAAACGATCCTGGCTCAATCAACTAAGAAATCGGAAATGATAGAACTAGCAATGGCTAGTAAAGAGGAAAGTTGATTGAGAGGGTCACTACTGGAGATTCCCTTATGGGAAAGACCGATCCCTCCGGTAGTTGATTAATTGTGATAGCACCGCAGTTATTGCAAAAGAAGGGAACCGGTTCTAGAACGAAAAGAGACGAGAAATTTGTCGTAAGCACAGTACTGTAAGAGAACTCCTAACGATAGGAGCTATGAGGGTGGATCAAGTGACTACCGAACCACGGACTACAAGTGATGGTAACCCGACCAATAGACTGGAGATCCCAAGAAATGGGTTCAATGGGTAATAACAAGTCATGAGTAGTATGCGAAAAGTTCATGCATAGTGAAGCACGAATCCTAAAGCAATGGAGGTTGAGTTAACAACTCTTAATGAGATCTATACCCTATGTGGGGTGGAGTACTTTACTTTGGGGGTACTTCTGATAGACTCACCTATGTGAATGTGGGAGTGGGGCCGCTCCCTATGGAACTTTGGAGGCACAAAGTTGCTAGAGCGTTCACTAAACCGGGATAACGTGCATGGCCATAAACGCACGGCCTATGAGAGAATATCACTCAATGAAAAGATCCGGTGTGCTACATTGTCTGAGATAGGGTTCAAGACTACGAGTCACCCTTATGAAATCGGAAGTGTAACCACTATACTAAGGTTCAAATCTTCGCGATACCTTAGCTTATGCCCGATCTTATGGAACTGTTGATGCTCAGAGATAGTTTCAAACTATTCAAGTGGGGGATTGTTGGGATGAATAGCTTTGAAAAGCTATAATGAAATTCCTAATTAATTATCCAGTATTTTCCCATAATACGAAATTAAGATGGATAATTAATAAAAGTAATATTATGGAGGTAATTAGGAATAATTATCTTAATAAATTATATTTTAATTATGGGAGTAATTATCTCCCTAATTAAAATATGACTTATTCCCAAAGAAAGAGGGAATATTCTGGGTTTTCTGCTCCTATAAATAGGAGACGCCCCAGACCCTCTAACCACACCTCAGAGAGCAGAAACACGAGAGAGAGTGAGATTCAAAGAGCTCCGGTTTTCCGCACAAAACCGCTGAGCAAATCAAAAGAGTGGTTGTTTTATCCTGGAGGCGACCGGCTGATAGTCTGCTGTGCGAATAACGAGGCAGTGCCGCGAACGTCTTAAAGAGAGCGACCTAATCCGCGACTCAGCCAGATTCAGTAACCCTAATTTTTCTGTTCGATTTCTAACAGTAACAACAAAAGAAAATCAGCTCATCCACAATACAAAGTTCTTTCAACATGTTTATTATCCTTCAAACATCTATACATCAAAGATTAAAAAAAAAAGTTGTGTTTATCATCACACCAATGGAAGTGATTAACCATGTATAGTCCCCGAAAAGGATCCTTCAAAACATCTATACATCAAAGATCAAACATAGACAAAGGTGAAATCAATAATTAAGTAGTGATCATTCTCACTACTTAATACTGTCAAGAGCCTATTGATTCCAATAACTTGAGTTATTGAGACCAACTGGTTTATTACATGGTATCAGAGTTGGTTTGTCCTTGAGGTCACGTGTTCAAATCCTCACAACCCCCAATATTAACTGTTGTTTTTCAAGCACATGTGGTATGGTGGCTTTCGTTTGAAGGGGCGTGTAAGGAAGTGGTTAAGCACCATACATGAGCTTGTATAAGATCCATCGTAACTTTCTCCCAACAACTCGAGTTATTGGGACCAACTAGTTTATGACAAATACTACAATTACTTCCCTTTCGCGGCATAGCACTGTTTTCAACTTCTGTTCCGCTGCTAGTGGGGGTGAAAATCGATATGGTATCGGTATCCCAATACCAAATACCGAAATCCTGAATACCGAATTACACCCTAAATCAATCCCAATCTCAATCCCAATCCCAATCCCTAAATAATTTCGGTATCCCAATCCTAATCCCTAAATATTTTGGTATCCCAATCGTTACCTCGGTATTCCAATCGGTATTATCAAATACAAAATTAATTACCTTTGTAATTAATAATTAAATATATAAATTAGATTATATTGTTTAATTTAGGACAAAGTGACTAAGCAAAGAGTCTTGAGTTGCCTAGAGCTAATATCTCAAGTTCTTGTAATTGTAAATCTTAAATTTGACGAATTTGAGGATGAGAAATGACTAATACTAGTGTGAAATAGTGATGGAATGATCTATGTATAATTAAACGACACTCTTGGTAGTTGATGGTCGCCTAGTAGTGAATGAGAGAGTCTAGTTCAAATGATAAATTACGCACTAGCTTATATTTTGGTATTGATCGGTATTTCGGTATATCTCGATCCCAATCCCGTAATCCCTAATACCGAATAACAATTGAAATTCAATCTCAATCCCAATCCCACAAAATAATACATGTATTCGGTAATACCAAATATAGAAAAATTCGGTACGGTATTCGGTATATCCCAAATACCGGTACCAAACTTCCAACCCTAACGGCTAGATTGCTTCCGATCACGATCATCGAGAGGCCGGTGACTCGCGAGATCGATCCCCATCTTGATCTGCTTCTGCTTGATGTGGGTGTTCCAGTGATTCTTGATCTCTTTGTCGGTTCTACCACGCAATGTTCCAGTGATTCAAGAACAATTACACACCCCCTAATAATAAACAACTAGTACCACAATAACAATTATTGCTCTTTTTTTTTTTTTTGTACTGGATGCTGGGCTTAAAGCCTAATACGAAAGCTATGGGCTCTTCCTACCTGGGTCCAATGTTCAAACTAAAGAGCCCAGCATCGGAAGCAATCAATTCAGTGCGGGGGAAAAAGAAATTAAAGAAAAACAAATTAGTGACCCGACCCGACCCGGCCCGACCCGGAACGAGAACTGATACTGTGTGTGCCGTATAATTCTCGCCAACCATCATGTTCTTCACAGGCTCCCTCAATTCCTCCCTCTCTCCCTCTCTCTCGCGCCCATATTGCACGGTCGCGATCCCGAGCACGTTGCAGCCACGCGAATTGCGCGGGTCACCTGTTCGACGTAATTCCTGAACTAAAAACACCAGCATCCAAGAACCCGGCGGCAGGAGGGAAGCAAAAAAAAAAGAGCAAATCCGAGATCTGCAACAACGATCGAGCAGCAGAAAACGATATGTGGAGGCGCGTCTCTTCGCTTTCTCCATTTCTCTCTTCCTCCAAATCGTCCTCGCTCGCCCTGGTACCTTCCGTCCGTCTTCCACTGCTTTCTTGCCAGTCCTCTTCCTCGTCTAAGCATCAATTTCTGGTTTTAATGCTCCTTCTTTGTTTCGCTCTCTCCTCCCTTGATTTGAACTGTAGGCAGGCAATGGATGGAACGCATGTGGATCGCTAGCTATGGACTCCCCCTTTTCGGTATATTGTGCCAGCTACACCTTAATCGCTTCTTCTGCTCTGTTTAAAGCCAACTAGTTGAATCTGGTATTCCGGTATTCGACTATAGAGTCGTCGGTGTCAAAGCTGATTGTAGCTTTGTTTCTGCTTGATTTGGTGAAAACTTGCACTTGCGCGCTTCTCTAAATTGGACTCATTTCCCAGCAGGTAGACTATGCAAGTTCGCTAGCACAGAAAAACCCTTTCATCACTTTCGTGTTAGGTAACGTCAACAGCCATTTTTCCTTCCTTTCATTTCCTTTTCAATGTAGCCATGTGGGGGTGTTGCTGCATTTCTCGCTCTGAACATTAAATTGGAATGCTGTTGTGAGCGAATCATATGCTTTTTTTGGGAGCTTTTAGCGGAAAAAAAGTAGACTGATATAGAACTGGATACTTCCTTTTCCATGAAAAAGCTACATTGTTTCTGGTTGAATTGCTTGGCTTGACGATGTTGCGGTTCCCACTTGGATTGTAAGGTGGCCCCGGGAGTGGAAAAGGCACTCAATGTGAAAAGATAGCCGAGACGTTTGGGTTCACCCACCTGAGTGCTGGAGATTTGTTAAGAAAGGAAATCATTTCCAACAGTGAAGAGCAGTAAGTTTGCTAACCTTCCAGAAACAGCGTGTCCTTGAAATTTTGTTGCCTGGTTTCTGATGATTGTGAAAATGTGTTTTCAGAAATACTATCCTCGACATAATCAAAGATGGAAAGATTGTCCCTTCGGAAGTGACTGTCAAACTGATCTTGAAGGCGATGGAATCCAGTCATAGTGATAAGTTCTTGATTGATGGCTTTCCACGAACAGAAGAGAACCGCGTCGCATTTGAACGAATTGTAAGTTCCTTTTCCTCGGACTGTTTATGGAAAATAGGTGTACTAGCATCTGCAAGCGTTGAGATTGAATGAAAATTTTCTTGTTGTTCTTGAGTAAAGTGCAAGGAAATGACTGAGATTCGAGTTAATGCTAGAACAAGCTGCTAGATTAACCATTTTTTGTACCTGGTATTCATGCAGATTGGGTTAGAACCAAAAGCAGTGCTCTTTTTTGATTGTCCAGAAAAGGAGATGGTGCAAAGAGTGCTAAACCGTAATCAGGTGCTTGCTTGAAAACAGTAGCCCAATATCCAGTTGATATGGAGGACAACCATTACTGTAACTGCACTTTTCCTTCATCACAGGGGCGATTAGATGACAACATAGATACAGTCAAGAAGCGTCTTAAAGTGTTCAAAACATTGAGTCTTCCTGTTGTTGAATACTACTCCAAGAAAGGGAAACTGCACAAGGTATATAACTCGTACTGCACACACTACTTACCCTATGATGCTTTAAGATGAACCAGAGATTCTTAAGTTTTACCCGTGGCTTCGTGGTTTTGTATAGATAAACGCGGTAGGAGATGAAGATGAGATTTTCGAACAAGTTCGCGCTGTTTTTGGCGCACCAGAGGTAGTCTCCAGACTCCAATCCTTGTTTAAATTGCAAACCTTCAGCTGCTTGTATCGGATTTGGTCGAGTGATATTTATTTGTTATGATCTGTGCAGGTGACTAACTGACTGTGTACCTTAATGTTGACTGCTTCATTTTGGGGGCTGGTGGTGATATCTACTAATGTCAAGTGGATAAAACCCAAACCACACAAGCTAGCGGGAGGACCCTAAAATTGGTGGGGGACTAGAGAATTTGAAGGGCTGGCTGATGATATCCTCCTACATATTTCTAGACTATGTACAGAAACAAGGGCCAAGGCCCTTTCTTTGCAAGTTGCAACTCTCTCGCTTGCCCTTCCGTCCCCCGGATGTAAAACAACGTTGCAGGAGCTGCTAAAACGAGACCAATTGGTTCAGCAATAGAACCCCAAATTGTTGGTTGGGGCATTTTCTCCAACACATTTGGCTCTTAATGGCGGAAACGAGACTATAGTTGGTTCTTTCCTTTTTTTTCATGCTCTGCACGAGTGGTTATGTTGACGAGGCCACCAGGTGTTCGATCAAATGTCTAGGAGAATGCGGGGTGTGCGGAATTGGATCAATACCAAGATGCCATGACACTCTACTTTCAGATGGAGAAGATGGCGTGATACCCTACCGATTCACTTTTCAAGCAGTGCATAGAGACCTCGTTCGGTTGGGATTCGGCGAGGATGGGTTCGTTCGAAACGCTGTGGTCGATATGTTCGCCAAGTTCGGAGACATTGTTAAAGCTCAGAGTATCTTCAACAAGATCGGTCACAAGGACACTTATCTCATGGAACTCCATGCTGACTTGCGTACGTTCGTCATGGCCTCGCAGCAGAGGCATTCCGTCTCTTCGGCAGGATGATTCACGAAGACGTTGAACTCGTCTCTGTCACCCGAGGAATGCAGTGGGAACTATTGATCGTCAATTCCCTGATCGTCGTCTACGTTATTGTGGAACTCCATCATCTCCGCTCACAGTAAACCTCCCTGAATCGCTGCCCTACTTTGGAGAGATGGAGACGGAAAATGTCATGCCGGACAATATCACGTTCGTGGCCGCGCTATCGGCCTGTGCTCATATGGGTATGGATGGTGGAGGAAGGGGAGAGGCCGAGACGCTGTTTTCTCTGATGGTGGAGAAGTACGCGATGAAACCCATCATGGAGCATTACGCCTGTATGGTGAATCTCTATGGCAGGACTGGGTTGATCGGTACGGCGTATGACTTTGTGATAGGGACGATGGCGTTGGAAGCTGGACCGACTGTGTGGGATGCTCTGTTGCATGCTTGCTGTGTAAAGATTGGAGAGGTTGGTAGTGAGCACAACTTCGAACTTCTGGTTGAGATCTGTAGCGACGGTGGTCGGATGGAGGATGCGGAGAGAGTAGGGCGGAGAATGATGGTTGATAGAGGGCTGTCAATGCAGGGTGTGCAACATAGTCCATGAAACCGTATCGGGAAGGTCAGCGCCCAGCAGTGTCGGTAAGGTATTTTGTGGTAAAACCGTGGTTTAACCGTAGTTCAACCACAATACCGTTAAATACCGCCTATCAATTTAGTCTTTAATACTGATATTTTGTGGTTGAACCATTGGTACGAGGACCATGGTGTGTAAATGGCAAGTTGGCTATGTTTTAGTTTTACTATGGCCATATTCTTTCCTTTTCTCTTACCCTAGCTAACACTTTGGGGGTAGTCAGCTGGATCCCAATTCGTTATGGCGCTCACACAGTGGCGGATTCAGAATTTTTTTACAGGGGCGTCCTCTTTAAAAAAATAAAAAATAAAATAAATAATTCATAAATAAGAAAATACATGACTAGTACAAACTTTAACAAAAGGCCACGACGTGTTTTCATATTCTGAAAAAGAATATAAAATATACTCGACGTCTTCACTGCTCAACAAATCTATATATCATACTAGACAATAATATACGAACTGATCCAATATTCGAATTCTAACCTTGTTCTTTATGTATCTCAAAGTTGAAAGACTCTTTTAACTCTTGTTGTGTAACTATACAATCAATTCAAATTAAGGATAACCCACAATTAGTTTAGTTGTTAGGTCTTGAAAATAGTTGGGAATAAGCAATAATGTTTTTACTATTTCTTAGAACAAGAAATGAGCTGCAACCTAAAAAATATGTTTAATAATAATAGTGTCCTAAGTTTGAATAACACAAACTACCATTTATATTTTTTGAATCTTACACAAACTACTATCAACAGTAGTATAATCATTTTTTTACAACAAATCCACTTCTATTTCATCCCACAGCCATTCCAGTTCCATTCAAAGCTGAAAAAAGATTGCAGAGTTTGCTTCACATCTGATAGTGATCACACTTGGAAACAGCTCAAAGCTGTGAGCATAGAATTGAGGGATGGTCTGACAAAAGCTGAAAGAGTGACGAACGGCCCCGACACTTGCTAGCTCATTTGTGACAAGTGGATAATTATGAAGGGTGTGGGTGGCTGGCCATAATTTTCTGGTGATAGTTGGTACTAGATGATGGGTGTTTTTTTTTTATAACCCAGGAAGCTCAACCCCACATGTCACTTGATCTACTAAACCTGAGGAGCACCTGTACAAGACACAACATTGGGAGACTTCGTTCTCGGCATTCAGGTATTCCTCCGGAAACACACAAACGACACCGTTGGGGATCGAACTCAAGACCTCTCACGTCCTGAGCCAACCAAACCAATGGTTTCACCGCTAGGCTGTATTACCTTTGGCTAGATGATGGGTGTTTGCTTGGTGATTGCTTGCTCTGTTTCTTTCATTTTGTGCAGAACTCTTCCTTTCTCTTTGATTGGGCGTTTCAGTGCAAGGAATTCAATAGAAGAGGGGCCCTTCCGGTAATTATGGTAATGGTAGGAGACATGCCACCACTGGCTACAACCAATGCTCCATTCACATGGACAATCTCACAACGAGGTAACCTACCCCGAAGAAATAAATGGGCGGCGATTCCGAAATCAGACAACAAATTTTTTTAAAAGTTTTATCATTACATGATAATGATATATATGAAGGGATAATGAGTATGACTCAAATACTCATATATGTACTTCTTCGTATAAAAAAACTCATATATGTACTTTTAATTGTTTTGGGTTGAGTTTGAATATGAGTTCAATTTGGATCTACTCCTCATGGTCCAATTCAAATGAGCTGATTTGGGTTCAAATAATTTGTACATACAAAAGAAATTTTTTTTATCATATGATTAACTGCCTTCAACTCAAATACACCTTTGACGTTCGTATTTTCATATCTCTATTTGTTTCGTAACAAAAAATTAAGAACAATTTTGCATTAAAATTGAGTATTCATGTTCTTTTGGATACTCAATACGATATTATTCAATTCATACTTATACAATCCGATATAAACTAATTCAAAAACAAAGTTATCCAAATCTGATTTCACCCATGGTAAAATTAATGAGTTTGAGCAAAACTCAAATATTAAATATGTTTCGCCCATGGTTGAGTTACATTTTCCAGAAGTCTAGTATAGTAGAAACACCCACCTCTGCCTCCTCGCTAGGCCTGTTAATAACAAGAATTTCAAAAATTTATCAAAAACCAAATGACGAATTTATGCAAATCAATGTCGGAAAGCCAATCGCGAAATCGAAAGCCCAGTACAGGAGACGATACCAGAAAAGTCAACAGTATGATATTTTATGACAAAACTATAGTTTAACCGTAGTTGAATTGTTAGCAGTGGCAGAGCTACATGGAGGGGAGGGGGTGCTTGCACCCCCTTGGGCTTGGAAAAAATTTCCCCATTAGGGGTATATACGAATTTGAACTAGTGACCATTCAGTAGCAAGGAGAGTTTCTTACCATCTCGATCAAGTAAGTGTTGTTATATAAAACACTTTCGTCTTTATTCATAGTAATAAACTGTTGTCTTTTGTTTAAACTTACTAATTTCTTTTGTACCTTTACAACAGAGGAATCTCTTGTGATTTGTGTAGACAAAGCTGAAAGTGAAGAAGTACCAATTGAAGTTCACTTGATAGTTTCACAAAATCAATTCCAAGGTACTTTTGAGTTCTAATTTGTAATATTTGATGAATGGAACTCTTGACTTGTATGTACTGAACTTATTTGTTTCACGTTGTAACCGGTGTACGTAAAACTATTTTTATGTAATTGTATGAATTTAGAGTATTGAGCTGTTGACATTTTGTTTCATTAAGAGTCGACTTTTCTATTATATAGGTGATTTTTTATGATATGATAAAGACACCCCATTGACCATTTCTGACTCCGTCATTGACCGTTAATACCGATAATACCACCTACTGATTTAGCCTCCAGTACTAATATTTTTTGCTTGAACCACTGATAACGTACGATTTCATCCTAAATCGATGTTATGTGTTTCAATTACACAATATCCATTATTCTCAAATTCGTGTTTTGGCCTTTGGGATCGTGATGAAGCTTGACCCGCATTGAAATCCGTGCACCATATCTATGTCTTGACGTGTCCGTGATTATGGCATTGAAAGTTGGAACAAACGAGCCTACGATGAAGCAATTATTATTAAATAATAAAGCACGCCGGTGATTAAACGATTATATTATATATATATAGCCTTCAAAGTAATTAAAACGCAGACAATGGTCTCCCATTTGCACTTTGAAAAGCTGCACAAAATCCAACGTTTTAGATTTCCCATTGATGTCGGTATTACCAAAAGAAAAAGGGCGGGTCTCCTTCCACCGAATCCAATAGCTTTATGATGCGCATCCATCTATATCTATTCAGCTCAAAAGGAGACCTATTGGGGAATTTGGGATAAAAGAAGACCTATTTGATTCAAGGGTTTTCATGCAGGATTATGGGCAATAGAATAGGATTCAACTGATAACAGTGATTTGATTAAAAAAAAAGAAAAAACTGATAACAGTTACAAAATTGACTGACGTGTCTCTGAAATGACCGATATAATCGGTTTCTGACCTTCAAATAAAACGATATCGTTTTGTTGAATATAATTGGTAAAAAACTATTTTTTTCATTTATTTCTTTAATTTGAAGATTAAATGTGACTATATTTATTGAATTCAAGTATAAATGTTATTAACGTTAAATGTTTGTATTTAATAACATGATTTTTCATTTTGTTTAGAATGTTGTCTTTTATTTAAATATATGAAAGTAGATTTTAGAGAGATTGTGTTCAAATATGTTATATATATATTGTCTAAAGTCATCTTGTGTTAATGATTTCCCACTTTCCTACATTTTTTTTTGCTAAAACCAATATGAAATGACATTAAGCGATCGTACCACTAGTCGGACCATACCATTTGACAAACCGGCATAATGATATAAACCGGCATGACAAACTTAGCTCTCACCCATAGGGATGGCAATGGGCCGGGTTGGGTTTTGCCCAACCCGAACCCATGGCTATATCCACACAAAAAATCTGAGGTAAAACACATTGGGTTTGAAAAACTCAAAGTCTCAAACCCAACCCGCTGGGTATCCGCGGGTTTATGGATACCCATGGGTTATGATAAAAAATGCTCAACAAGTTCCTACCAGAATAAAAGTTTAATATTATTCTTCCCATACAAATTGTCTTAATAAAAAACACCATTCTAAAACATACAAGCAAACCACAAAATATCCATACAAATTGTTCAACATTAAAGATAAACATCCATAAACAACATGATTAATTGAAAGCTTCTTCCTCCTTATCAACTAAACTTCTTCACTCTCCACTCCATAATATCAACTTCATTCTACACAATTAGGAAAAACAAATTAGACATGTCTCCACAAACATGAGAAAGATTAGTTGTTTAAGAAATATTAGTATGGGGGAATGCCCAATGGAAAGTGGGTAAGGAATTCGTGGTTGGGGACGGGTACGGGTTGGATATAGTTAAACCCAAACCTAACCCGTAAAATAGTAAACGGGTTTAAACCCGAACCATGCCCATAATCCATCAATGCGATTTTTATCCGCATTGACCGAGTTGTATCGAATAGAGTACCAATAGCCCCAATAAATTCGGGTTATGTTGCCATCTCTACTCACCCATCTTCCGCTGTTAGACGACAAAGATATTTCCACTTCAAATTAATTCTCTCTTTTTTTTTTAAGATCCTTCCTATTCCCACAGTCCATATTTCGCATCCGGCTCACATTAGCACCACTCGGCAAAGCCCCCACAAAATCCCCCTTAAAACCCCCAACCCAACTCCATCTTCCCTCTCACTAGTCCTCACTTTTTACTCTCTCATTTCTGAACTTCCCTCTTTCCTGCCCCAAAAAAAGCCAGCCATGGCCAAACTACTCCTTACTTCCCTAGTCCTCTTCTGCTGCGCCATTTCCACGGCGGCCGCAGCAGCATCAGCCAACCCGAGATCCAGCGCCGCCGCGGCGGCGGCGGCATCAGCCAGCTTCATAAAATCCTCCTGCAGCGCCACCACCTACCCGGCCCTCTGCGTGCAGTCCCTCCTCTCCTACGCGCCCACCATCCACCGCAGCCCAAAGCAGCTGGCCCAGGCCGCCCTCTCCGTCAGCCTGTCACGGGCCCAGTCCACCCGATCCTACGTCCGGGCCCTGGCCCGCTTCAAGGGCCTCCGGCCCAGGGAGAAGGCCGCCATCCGGGACTGCGACGAGGAGATCGGCGACACCGTGGACCGCCTCGCCAAGTCCATCCAGGAGATGAAACGGATCGGGGAGAAGCGGAGTGGGCCCGGGTTCGAGTGGCACATCAGCAACGTGGAGACGTGGGTCAGCGCCGCGTTGACCGACGAGAACACCTGCGTCGATGGGTTCGCCGGGAAGGCGTTGAACGGCAAGATGAAGAGCGGGATTAAGGCGCGGTTTACGAATACTGCTCAGGTTACGAGTAATGCCCTGGCTTTGGTGAACAAGTATGGCGGTCACTGAAAAAAGTGCAAAACTTTGGATCCTTTTTTGTTCTTGGTTTTAATCTTTGGATCGATCTATCTCTCCCGCTAATGTGTAACATAAACATGAATTTTGTGTAGGGTTTTGTGACTGTTTTATGTATAATATATGTACTCTAGTCTTGTGCTCTGTTTTAATACATGGGAGCAGGACATTTTCAGTGTGACAGAGGTCTTTCTGGCCAAAATGCCGTGTTTGCTGGTCAATAATTAAAGTAGAAAGCGTTGAATCAACAGTAAGAGAAAAATAGGGAGTGGGGACGGTGCGCATGTGAATTCTGAGGCGATTGGCCCTTTTTCTGACGACAAACTTGTCCTTACCATGGTAAAGAAAATCGTACCGGACATCATACCGGATTTCTTTCTGATATGGTATTTTGTGATACGACCGTGATTCAACCGTTTTGTACCCGTAAATACCGTTTTTCACTATTGATAGAGAAATGAAATGCGATAGTATAAAAAATATAATCCATAAAAAAAAGAACCAAATAGAGCATTATACAACCACGGTGACCCATTTTCAACATAGAAAAATAGCAAAATAATATTCTTTTTAAATTATTTTCTACATATTGAACGAGAATACGTAGAAACGAAGCTGAATCATAGACCAGGAAACCGGATCGTACCGACCGGTTCAACCGGTCAAACCAAAAAAACCGGCCGGCACGATATAATCAGTACAAGCAGCTCACCATACCGCTTTTGGTCCAATTTCCGGTTGAACCGTCACAGGCATTCACATGCGCACCGTCCCCACTCCTTCACAGGCATTTAAGAAGATGATATATAGTTACTGTACTGTTTCACCGCCACCATTCATTCAAGTATTGTTGCAGATATTCATCAAGAAGCTGTGAAATAATCTATAAAAATGCACAATTGGTAAAAAGAAAAGAAAGAGACCTCTTGCATGTGGATTCGGTGACCAATCAATTATTCTGCTTATTTACCGACATAATAACGAATAACCGATTATATCGTTAGGATCAATCAACTAATATAAATAATGCGGTTACAAAATAAACATAATTATTTAACGATTGATCTTTGACAGAATAAACAGAGAGGATTATGACCGAAATAACAACATACGTACCAGACCACTTGGCACGGCATCTTTTCTTCGTGGCTCGTGCAACTATAAGTGGGCTCTAGGTAAACTGGGCCTGTTGCCATATGGTTCCTGGTCAGCTTGGCCCAATAGGGCAGGCCCAGAGCAGCACACTCAGAAACTCCATCTCCAAGGTCTAAACTGCATGATTAATCAAATGAAATTCGTACCAATTTATTATCCATGCAAATTCAACTCATTAACATGTTCACAACCCCCGAAAACAAAAACAAAAAAACAAAAAACAAAACCAGTAGACTAGACTCAGACTGCAACAATCCAGATCGATCACATGATCACCAATCAAAGGGGTGATTAATTAATTAATTAATCAAACCAGAGATCTGGCCGCCGACTCCTCAATATCCCATAAGTTTGTCGGCGAGAGCCAGAGCGTTGCTAGTGAGCCTTCCGACCTTCTTGATGCTGTTCCAAATCGGGGCCTTCACCGCCGCGCTGACGTCCTCGCCGTCGAACACGTCGGTGCACGTGGTCTCGTCGGTGATCGCGGCGCTGAGCCACGTCCTTATGTTGCCCATGGCCCGCTCGGCGGCGGTGGAGCCCTTCCTCAGCCCGGCCACCGCCCTGGCCGTCTGCTTCAGCTCGTCGATCGTCGTCTGGATCTCCTCGGCGCAGTCCTTGAGCACCGCCGCGTCTCCTCTGCCCAGCCCTGCCCGCTTCCGCAGCCGCGACACCAGCGACGACGTGTCCCTGACGGCCTGGAGGGTGACGGAGAGCGCGGCGGAGCAGAGCCTGACGTCGTCGGTCTTGATGGTGGAGGCGTAAGGGGCGAGGGAGGTGTAGCAGACTTTTGGGTACGTGGTGCCGGCGCAGGCGGTTTTCAGGTAGTTTATGTACTTCTGGCTGGTGGCGGAGGCGGCGGCGGAGGGGTTTGGGAAGGTTGATAGGAAGAGGAGGGATGTGAGGAGGAGAATAGGGAGGGACTCCATTATAGAAAGGAGATGGTGTGGAGGAACAAGTTTTTTGGGTTTTGACGTTTTTGTTTATATAGGTGGAAGAGAAGGTGGCCAGGTGATTAAGTTTGCACATCGAGATTGGAGATGCAAATTAATTAATTACTTATTTAATGACTATGAGATAAATTAATAATTGATGCATTTTGTTCCCACTTCTTTCTTTTACCAAACAAACAAGTACTTAAGATTGGATAACAGAGCACAAATTTACAATCTATCGAGATTTTCGATATGTGTAATTAGGTGTAAATTGATGTTTTGTTCTCAAATTTTGGGACATGATTATTGGAATCATCAACGATCATGGTTGGACCGCTCCGGTAGTCCACGATTCGAGCTGGGTTAAGGCTGGTTCGTTTCAGGTTGGTTGCGATCTTGTGTGTAGATCACTCATGTGTGTGTCCAACGAACTACTACCTAGATGGCTCGACACAACAACAGATCGATCACCCCAAATTTTAGTATTTTGGGGGAGTTGAATGCAAATATGGTATTGTGTCATTTTTTTTATAGCAAAGGTAGTATTTTGGGGGAGAACCATTAAATAGTGATGAAAACGAAATAAGTTACTAAGCCAGAACGTAATTGGGTTGTTTTTTTAGGGCAAGCAGTTTGGATCCCTGCACTGATGCGACAATTTCATCAGCAGTATCAGGAATGAGTCTCTCTTCCTGTCGACCGAGGTCTGAATACAGGCGTGTCCCTCATTCCAGCTGGGCCTGTCAGCACAACGCATTCCATTGTTTGTATGTGGGATGGGGCGACGAGAGCTGGGTCTCATTCGGCTGGAGGGATTGTACTGAAAGACCTCACAGGAAATGTCCTTACGGCCCGTGGTCCCTGATACTGATGACCCTTTGGTGGCGGAAATGTTGGTTCTTCAGGAGGCAGTAAGTTGGTGTCTGGAATTGGGATTTCTGGCGACTTGTTTTCAGGGGGACGCCCACGTTCTAATCAATAAAATCAATCGACGGGATGCGAGAGATAATCGGGTTGGGCCTGTGCTGGCAGAACTCATCCGGATGTTTTCATTTTATACTGAGATTAATGTTCGATTTGTAGGTCGGAATAGCAATATGGTAGCTCATTTGGTAGGTCGAAAGGCATTCAATTTATATCGACCTACATGTCAATTATTTGATTTACAGGATGTAACTGTCATTTGATCTTATCAATATAATGGATTATTTTTGTGAAAAAAAAAAATTAATAGGCCAGAACTTTGAACAGAGAAGCAAAACCTGTGGATGCAAGTGGAGCTATAGCCTATTATTAGTCTACTTGATTACATGGCCATGTTATAGGAGAGATGGCACGTGATGGGAATGACAAAATGCTACTCTCTAATTGACCGTTTGTAGGGTGGTAATGGGCATAAGGGCTAAGGCTCTGGCTGGCCAACTAGAATCCCAGCACATACCACATGTGGATTGCCTCATGAAGCTCTCTAGTTTACTCATTTATTGATTGTAATTTTTTTTTGTTTTCCGGTGGATATTATTCGATCTTCTCTTGACAATTGAAATATTACATTCAAATGATGCTGATTAAAAAATTTATTACTTTTTATATATTAAATCACTTTTATTATCTAAATAAGTAGAGAGCTAGCGGTGGCGGTCGAGGTGACCTAGGGTAATGAATCCCAGAGGTAGTTGGAGTTGGAGTGACCCGGGGAAGTGAAGAAGGTGACTCAAAATAATAGACCTCAATAGTGGCCGAGGGTACTCGGGGTGATTGACCCCGAGGCTGATCGAAGTGACTTCGTGGTGGTTGAGGTAACCAAGATGATTGGCTCAGTGACCGAAGTAACCCTAGGTGATTGATCCACGGGTGGTCATGGTGAACTAGGGTGGGACCCCAAGGGTAGTCGGAATGACTCCATGGCGGCTACGGTGATCTATGTTGGGGTGGGTGGAAGACCCGGAGTGACTCACTCCGATATACAATTTTTTTTTTTACTTAGAGTCACTAGTATGCATGTGTATTTTTGTACAAAATTTTATTATTTTTCTTTAACATATTCCATATTTATTATACATGCATATATAAAATTTTCATGAAATTAGATTCTTCTTAATTAACTTTCTCAATTTTAGTGATATACTATTATTCTTATTATTATAATTATAAATTTTCAGTTACGTAATGTCAATATAAGTATAATTTTTAAATATTCATTGAAGTTCTAAAAATATAAAAACTATATTACGAGTGGATATTCTACTTGTATGTGTATGATTTTAATTTTCTACCCAAGTTATATATTATTATGGTTAGGATAATATCCAACCTATTTTGAGTATATATTCTTTTTATTTTTTTGTCATTAGATTACTCCAAATCCGAGGAAACAAAATAACACAAATACAGAGTCATTGGCTATGAAGCCATTGAACGAAGTCAAACCTCATTTATGCAAGCCTCTAGAGTGACCCACCTCGTAGAAGCAACGAGGGCCGAAGAGCACAAAATCCCTGGCCACGGCCACCAATTCCCCAACCGGGGATCAGCAGTGCAAACTGGGAATGATGCAGAAAGGAATCCTCGGGGAGAAGGGTCCAATTCAAAAGCGAACGAATAACTAAATCATGAATAATTGTTTGGTATAAGATTAAATCTAAAATGTCTCTCAACAACTCGAGTTGTTGATATTAAACGGTTTTTGACAACGAACACCATTTGAAAACGAACGACTGACTAAATAATGAATGATTGTTTGGTACATAAATAGTGATATTCTTGATAGTTTTGACTATGTATTTTAATTTAGAAGGCGACTTGTATACTCCAGATGATCTGACTGTTAAATATACTACGATGAGTTTCAACCAATCTCAACCGTCAATTATTGTTTTCTCTTACCAAGCCACCAGATTAGTTCCGGATTCCTACCTAGAAATTACAGGCTATAAAGAGGCTGATCAGATAGAAGAGCACAAATATCTTCCATAATGGCACCCGCCTTAGAGTTGTTCGAGCATTTGTCTACTAACGATTTTGCATCTCCACAGAACATTATTGTTGGGGGTGTTACTAAGATACTCCGCGCATTTGTCTACTAACGTATGACGCTCGAAACCCGCTACGAGTATATAAAGGTATAAAACCCTCCAAGGGGAGGGGACTTCTTCTCACTCCTCACTTTCCACTTTTCACTATCTCTCTACACTTATCTATCTACATTGTTCTTTCAACTCTCACCTTAAACCGAAACTAACTTGATCGTTTGAGCTTAATCCGGGGGGCATCCTTGACCTTTTCTCAGGTTCCTTTCCTCCAAATGAGATCAGACGAAGACGAACGAATTGTGAGTCAACCCCACACCAACAAATGATTATTGTTCATACCTCGAGCTAGATGGTACAAACAATTACCCTTCACTATTCCTATTATAACCGTATCATATTCCTCATGGGGAATAGTAGTGGGCTACAAGTCAGTTGGGCCAATTCATACTGACGAGGCCCAGTAAGCCGGATCAAGTGGAGCTCCCTAACCAAGTTTCTTTTCCATGTAGATTTGTCTTTTTTTTGACGGGTTCCATGTAGATTTGTCATTCCTTACATTCCTTATATTAATAATACACTACTAAGTTTTCTGAGCATTAATTTGAACTTTTTTCCAGAGAAGATGCAAACAAGCATGCTCTAAACTATACCGTTAATAAAATGGGACTTATATATTATATGATAATATGAGTGACCACTATCAAATACAATGGAAATCGATAATGGATTTATGTCCTTGAATTGTGTGTAGTGAATAGTGATGGAAATGAGGTGAGGCTGTTATTTCAATATTCATATCTGCCCTGGAGTAAGTGAGGATCGGGTTGGATAATATTCGCACGATTATTATTGAGATATTTTGATCAATATTTATATGTAATTTGAAGAAAACTTTCAGTTTTTAACGATAACACAAAGGGAAAATAGTTCATAAATGAAAAATAAAGATAATATATATAGATAAATTGAGTACAATTAGGTGAAACATGCGGCGTTTCATTTATTTAAAGTGTCAATGAGTGAGAGATACGAGTACAGATAAATCAAAATTGATATTGAGACAAATTGAGATACAAGACGAGACACAAAAAAATAGCATCCACGCCCCGTTTTAAACTAATGCCGGTAGGATATTACCCACCATAGCATAGAGCAGGTCGGATAATACCCGACGCGGGCGGACTCAAATTTCCATCACTAATTGTGCTACAATAATTTATTATTAAAATGGAGTTACGATCGATAAACATGAGATACTATCTCCATTCTATTTATAAAAAAAAGATACTATCTCAATGGAGAACTAGTGGCAGACTGATGCCAACAACGTACATTATTTTCCTAAGCTACAAAACCTAGCTCCTAACTCAGATCATTAATTAATGAGCTAATTAACCTCTTCATAAAAAAAAATTAACGACGAGCTAATTAATGAACCGGATCTGGTCAACTAACTATTAACCTTCAATACGCGAGTTTGTCAACGAGAGCCAAAGCATTGCTAGTGAGCCTCTCAACCTTCTTAATACTCTTCCAAATCGGACCCTTCACCGCCGCGCTGACTTTCTGGCCGTCGAACACGTCGGCGCACGTGGTCTCGTCCGTAATCGCCGCGCTAAGCCACGTCCGCATGTTGGCAATATCCAGCTCAGCAGCAGCGGCGGCGCCCTTCCTCATCAGCCGGCTCACCACCTTGGCCGTCTGCTTCAGCTCATCGACCGCGTCCTTGATCACCTCGTCACAGTCCTTCAGGACCGCCACGTCGCCTTTGCCCAGCCCTTCCCGCAGCTTCCGCAGCCGCGACACCAGCGATGACGTGTCCTTGACGGCCTGGAGGGTGACGGCGAGCGCGGCGGAGCAGAGCTTGACGTCGTCGGTCTTGATGGCGGAGGTGTAGGGGGCGAGGGAGGTGTAGCAGAGTTTTGGGTACGTGGCGTCGGCGCAGGCGGTTTTCAGGTAGGTTTTGTACCTGCGGGTGACGGCGGCGGCGGCCGTGGCGGCGGAGGAGGGGTTTGGGAAGGTTGATAGGAGGAGGAGGACAATAGTGAGGGGAATCATTTTTGGGGACTCCATTGTAGAAAAGAGATGGTGGAGGAACAAGTTTTGGGTTTTGTTTTATAGGTGAAAGAGAAGGGAGGTCAAATTGGATTATATTTGCACATGGTGATTGGAGATCAGTCAATCAATTAACCAATTAACGATTATGAGATTAATTTATAAGGGTTGATGGCATTTGGTCACACTACATTTATTACCTTTGATTAAACATTTTAAGTAATTAATAAACAATAATTCATCCAAATTCACTAATCACTATACAACAAACACCGTATTTAGATGTCACAACTTTTGTTTAGTTACGCTTACATATTTTTTCTCCTTAGCACTGGCAATGGGGCGGGGTGGGGAACTCAATACACATGTTTTGCGCGGTACGAGGCGGGACGAGTCGACCCAATTTTAGATGTTATTTGAAAAAACACACACAAAATTTACTTTAACTATAAAATGAAGGGGAAAACACTTTATAAATGAAAAATAGTGATATTAGAATGGATAGTTGAGTTAACTAGTTGAAAGATCGAGTCAAATTAGGAGAAAAATGAATAGATATGGTAAGAAACCGAGATAGAATGGGCCAAAAACGGGACGAGGCGAGGCAAAGCGGGTTGGAAGTAGATACACATGTCTTGCTCCACGCTAATGCGGTTTGGTTAATACTCGCCCCATCACGAGTCAGGTCGGGTAATACCCTTATACCGGGGTTAAAATTCTCATTAGTATAGGTACCATTTTAGATCTCACCAAACTTGATAAGCACAATAATATCATACACCAAAACAAGAAGTAAATAGAATGAATATATAACAAAGCCAAACCGTTCGACTATCGTGTGCAAGTGGAGCAAATCGCATGTTTCATGGACATGGCTTGCGACTCTTCGGGCCGGGGCGGGAATCCCTCTAGGGATGGCAACCAAACCCGAACCCACGGGTACCCACCCGACCCAATTCGGTCAACGCGGGTAAAATCCGTGTTGATGGGTTTTGGGTCGGGTTTGGGTTTAAACCCGTTCACTATTTATCGGGTTGGGTTTGGGTTTAGGTAAACCCGACCCGTGGGTACCCGCCCACACATATAATTAATTTTCTCGGTATATTTAATATTTTAAACAACTAATCTTATTTATGTTTGTGGAGACATGTCTAATTTTTTCATTCTAATTGTGTAGAATGAAGTTTGTGTTATCGAGTGGAGAATGAAGAAACTTAATTGAAAGGAAGAAGCCTTCAATTAATCATGTTATTTATGGATAATTTATGATTTACTTCAATTTTCTTGAGTTTTCTAGATTGGTGTTGAACAATTCTAGAAAATTCAAGCAAATCACAAATTAACTATACAAATTGTTCATCACCAATCTAGAAAACTCAAGGAAATTGAAGCAAATCACAAATTATCCATAAATAACATGATTAATTGAAAGCTTCTTCCTTTCAATTAAGTTTTTCAATCTCCACTCGATAACATCAAATTCATTCTACACAACTAGAAAGAAAAAACTAGACATGTCTCCACAAACATAAATAAGATTAGTTGTTTAGAATATTAAATATGCCGAGAAAATTAATTATATGAGTGTGGGCTGGTACCATGGGCCGGGTTTACCTAAACCCAAACCCAATCCAACCCAACCCAACCCGGTGAATAGTGAACAGATTTAAACCCAAACCCGACCCAAAACCCATCAACACAAATTTTACCCACGTTGACCGGATCGGGTCAGATGGGTACCCGTGGGTTCGGGTTTTATTCCCATCCCTAATCAAGAGGCGATTGGACACCCGCTATAATGAGTTTGATTGTCTTGACTAAGTGGATTTTTTCATTTAAGTTACTGATAGAAGCTTGACGATTGAGATGGGCCAGCTGAGTGGGCCTAGAAAGCTGTGGGTTTTTTTTGCTGAAAACCTAGCTTAGCTTTTGCTCGTGTAGTGCTTTATGGGTTGGGAATTCGGTGTATGGATAGTTGGATACTCCTATTCTTGGCGCGCGATTCCTTTTCCTTATCATTTACTAGCGTGATACCCGGCCCGTTGGCCGGAGGAAATAAATAATGTGATCCTTATTTTTCTTATAGAATGCATTGTGATGAATCAATCAAAGTGAGTATTCCATTCATGATGGTGTGAAAAAGTCATTATCAATAGCGTTATGCCAACTTGAGAAGAAAACAAAGTATACTATTCTTATAAGAAATTAAGACCAGAGACTTAGATTCGAGGAAGCCAATTAGTTTGCTAAGTCACGTGGGAGATAGTAATGACATCACAAATATATATAATTCATAAATAAAGCAACCCAATAGAGGTTCCACAAAGTATGACAAAAACTCCGTTCAAATAGTCATGTCCCGAACACTGGTCATTTCCAATGTACAACTTTAAAGGAAGAAAACTAATATACATATAAGATACTGACTCCAAATAACTATTGCAACCTATTCCTCATCACTTAACTTCCTCTTTAGCGGCGTGCGAACACCACCATCAAGACTTTCATCTCGTGCTTCTACATGGCCAATCGCAGTTGTGGTATTGATAATGGATTCTTCAGTGGACTGTTCTCCCACAACATCGATGGCTGAAGTTGAATTGATATTTCCTTCATTAGAGTGCTGAGACAAAATTAAACCAATTAAATTCCTTAAAGAGAGTGAAGGCACATTTTGGGTCTAAGGTTTATTTGGTATTCTGTTTAACACCAAGGCAAAAAAACCATGACTATGCATAGCAAGCACATTTGAGATTCTTCCATTCATAGCTAATCATCTTGTACCAATGCAAGAAGCTTATAATTGTAAGCACATACCTGGCCAGATTCAATAGTTTTACTACGTAGCTGATGTACTCCTCTGGGTTCAACGATTTTCACAATACTAAATCCATGTGATGGATTTTTGAAAGTGTACGAATTTAGTTTGACGTGAAACGTCACATCTACCCTTTCAAAGTTTTGGATAACAGCAGGTACCTCATTATGGTGTTGATCACTTGAAAGGTAAAGTTCTTGAGCTGACTTATCAAAAAATTTCCAGCCTGCGTGATCCAGAACAACAAAAAGTGCTTCACTCGAGGAGTCTATCACAGAGAGCTCAAGTCGAAACCTGTAATGGATAAGTAGTTGATATGGTAAATGTAAACTATGATACAATTTACTCAATGGAATTTTTTCGTAATATGACAAAACACAAAGTAATAAAGAAATCATAAAGCATACAAAATTCCCAAACCTTTTGACTCCCTGAGCAGACCGTGCGTTACACTTCTCACAGTAGAAATGATCCACTCCTGCACGCAGTTTGGAGGCGCATTTCGTACAACCATCATAGCACCAGTTGTGCATGACTTCACAGACGTACCCCTTAATGGTAAACACCTTATTCTGAGATGACAAAAATGAACATGTTTTCTTTTTACTAATCAAGTGTAAAACCAATTTGTGCATGGATACAACATGTGTATGGGCAAAAAAAAAACAACTTGCAGTACATCACCTCATTGGCAGAGTTGTTGAGTAGGCTAATCAAATCTTCTATGGAAATTAGTGGGGGGTCAACTTCTCGCTCAATGATGCGGGGAGTATTTAATTCACGATGCCTTGTCACAAAAACTCGATAATTAGTATATGCATATGCCTATTGTTGAAGTCTGTTGTTGTTTTGTTATGTGTATGAGCAAACAAACTCAGGGGAAAATACCTTTGGTGAAAGGCTGCAACTTCAGGTAAATCTAAATTTCCATAAAGTTTGGTCGCAGTCGACGACGATAACTTAAGGTCTCCTCCTAAAAACGAATAGGAGGATTAAGAAGTTAGGTATACACATTACTAATATAATAGATACTATAATTGGAAAATAGTGCAAATGGAATTACCATTGTACTTAGTCACAAAAACACACGCAATGACCAAAATGATTGGCTTGCTACCAGCTACCGAGATAATTTCATCCAGCTGAGTGATTAGTCGTCCCCAGAGTACTATGTCCACTACCACTCCCCTAAGATTATGGTTATTAATCATAAGCCATTATAATAATAAGAAGATGCAAGTAAAAATTTTAGTTAGAAAGTCATAATTAAGAGAAGTACTCAAGCAACATGATCTTAATTTCCTTGCGAGTCGACCTTCCTCTCAGATTAGTCATAGTAATTGGAGGCAAACATTCCTTCAGCAAGCCAACAACATCTACATCATAGGATATGGCAGTTGAAAATTAATAAGTCAATAATTCAACTTTGATAACTATTGGACTCAAATCGAACCAGCTTACCAAGCAAAATCATCCTGTTGTTCACGTTCTGTGGTATATCAGAATGTTGGATAAATCTGAAAAAGTGGCGAGGGATTGACTGTGTACTGTCTGTGGGGCGAATGGTTGTCCCTGGTTGAAACTCAATTACCAAGGGATTGTTAACAGGCCGATACTTTGTGTTCGAAGTTAATGGTCTCACTTTGAACTTCGCAATGACACATATGGCTTGTTCTTCAATCTTAGAATCAAATCTCTTTATCAAGTTCCGCGGGACTTGAACCCAAATGGCATCTCCCTGTGATCACGTCCATGACATCCATAAGAAATTCGACATTCAGAAATCTCACACACAAAGCTTTCTACGAAAGAAAATACCTTTGCATCCAGCAGCACCATATCCAAACTGATCACAATATCGGTATTCGGATTGATAGCTATCCATTTTCTTGAGACTCTACATTGTAAAACCCAAGTCTTGTTTTCTTCGGTAGTCAGTTGAGCAATGGGAACACTTTGATCCATTGATGCTCGTGCCTTCTTCACAGACAGAGAGAATATCAGATTTATTAGTGTCGCACTACTGGGTAATTTTTGGTTTATAAAGCACAACTCACCGCGAGATAGTAGGTTGTGAGGTTTACCGTTACCAATTGCATGTCCAGGTTGAAGTTTGAGGGAGCAGGCAAAGAGATCCATGATCTCCGAGTAAAAGGGAAAGGAACCCACGTTCGGATCGGCGGGAAATAATTTAGGGAGAGCTGTTTTTATTTGTGATTCGTGAAATAGAGAAGCAGAGTGGCTGCGCTGCCATTAATTGAAAAGGGACAGCGAATGCGGTTGGAATTGTTCTTGTTGGTTTAAGATATATATAGTAATGGGCTTTTAAATATCAAAAAGCCCAAAGATAAGTACAGATGGAATACATTGCCTATCGGAACTTCCTTCACTACTCATCAAAACGCAAAACAATTCTTTGGTGGGGGAGGATTCTTCTTACGACAATGCATCAGCCGAGAAGGAGTTCGAGTGAGCTTTGTCTGAAATCAACTCCGCCCACACAGCCATCGGAATCTCATGTGGCATGCTGAGAAGGAGTTCGGGTGATCTTGATATTCCGATCGATTCCTTGCCTCTCTTTTCTGATGAACCATCTTCCGCCATTACCAGCGTTTGAATCCGGTGGATCTGCCTAACCTTTTGCAAGAGCTTCAAAGGAGTTTTGATTCGGTGGACAGGGAGGCTTTTCCATGGCTGGGGAGGTTTACTGGCGGCTGGCGAGGCTAATTCAATTGCTAGGTTTGTTTTCTTCAACTTACAGTTGTCGTTGATTTGTTCGTCGAGCTGTTCTGTGCTTGCTTGATTGAAATACGTCGAGGTTTTGAGATATTCGACTTTTGGATCATTGTAATGGTTTATACATGAAACGTTTTGGTGGAATTTACTCTTGATCTTGCGGCTGTTCTTGAAGCTCTGATTTATTCGGTTTTGCCTTCTCAATCGGGAACTAATCGTCGTTGATGCTGTGAATTTTGAACCGACGGGCCTTAATTTGTGCGCAGAGCTGTTCAATGGTTGCTTGATTGAAATACTTGGAGCTTTCGAGAGATTCGACTTTTCGATCATTCTTAGGATTTATGGTGAAATGTTTTGCTTGAACTTACTCTTGATCTTGCGGCCGTTCTCGAACCTCTGGTTTATTCGGATTGTATCTTGAATCGGGAACTCTCTGCTTTGCAGGTTCACCTGCGGAAACCATGTGAGGAGAATGCTCCACAAGTTGGTAAGCCTCCTTCTCCTTCTTGTTTGTTGTCGTTGTTTCTAGCCGCAAGTAGTAATTAGGGGAGCTCAATGTGTGGATTGCTTGTTTATTTATTCTCGTTTTCAGCTCTCTATCGAAAGAACCAGTATGAATTCAAGCTTCAAGACACTGCAACTGTTGGGTCACGACATTGATTTGTACATGTATGTCCAATGACCACATGGACGTCAATAGCGCGTCTTTGTAATATCGTACCATCTGGCCCATATGTAGTCTTGGTATAACAAACGTAATATAGATTTTCAGTTCTTTGATGATGTGAATAGGCAAGTAGTATCCTCAGTCAAAGTTTAGTTTGATCACTGTGGTAATGTGGATAGCTTTTAATTTGGTTGCCTCTTGCTGTAATGGCAGGTTTACTATGGATTACTCTAAGAATCATGGTTTAAAAGTTGATGCATCCTCCATTGAAAGGTAAATAGCATAATGTGTATAACACAGTATTGTGTAGCATTGTACTTCGAATGAGGTTACATTCCATTGTTTGTGGATATGGGAACTCCAACTCAGCTACCCAATCCTTGTCCAGTATATATGGAATGTGCACTAAGTCCCATTAGTATCTCTCGGTTGTGGGTATTTATGGTTTCACAAATTTAGGTTTAGGAAGGTTGTTTTATTTTCCCTTTTCTTAGAAGCTTTGTATTCTTTCTAAAGTTGAGGAACATATAAAATCATAACCTTTCTCATGGGCGATAATTTAGCAATTGATTAACCAATGATGCAGTTGAAGGATCTCTTGAATGGTAAGCATTTTCATTGTGAATCCATCGGGTTTTGGAAGCTATAGGATTAGGAAAAGGATCTGAAACATGGTTGCCATGCCAGCAGGCATGCCACCAGTTGAACATGGTTCAACCGGTTCCGGTCATGAAACCGGCATGACACTACCGGTATGACCGACATGATCGATCTGTGAATTTTTAAGTAAAATTATATCGTTTTAGTGAATTTAAATATAAGTACATGCAATTTTATTGAAAATATCACATTTTATTTAAATATCAATATGAATTGTACGTAAATTGTCTTCAAATATGATTTATATATGATTAAATTCATTTGACATTAATGATTTTTGACATTTCTACATATGGTTCTCTATATTCTCGGCAGTTGTTTGTAGCTACTTCTGATATGAATTTATCACAGATATACATGGAATAGGTTGTCCTAAGTGAGTTCTTGAGTAACAGATATTGACATAGGAAAAAAAACCTCTTTGTTTTGATAAATTCTTGGAATCGCATACATGGGTCTCATTCTTTTGACAATGTCGTATGCTTGGAAATGGAGAATAGATCAATTGCATACTTGCTTGTGTACTTCCAAATAGTTTCATGCTGCCAAATTGTTCATATCATACTTGTCTATTGTTGGAGGAAATGTTTCTTGTGTTGTAATATTTTGTGGTTGCTTTTCAGATCATAGCAAATAGGTTGTTGGAATCAAAGCAGACTACTCCACATTTATACTTGTCCACAGGTTATGTCTTCTCCATGATATGACTTGTATCAGTTGCTTTTGTATGGTTTTGGTCTAATTTTACAGTTTTCTCTATCTGATGTCATTCTAGATCCTCTTCTCTCTTTCATAAACGAACTAAAAGGTCCGTATCTCTTTCCTGATTGTAATCCTTACTTTTCTTCGTCTCTTTATTCATTGGAAATTATGCACTGTTTCCTTGACTGCAGAGAACCATGATATCAAAGTTTCTGTGAATGACATTGTCATCAAAGCCGTTGTTGTTGCTCTAAAGAACATGCAAGAAGCTAATGGTAATGAGTCGCTCTAGCTTTAGATTATAGTAAAGAATATGATGTGCAGATCATAAGTCACTGTCGGTTGTCAATCAATGGAATTCCACATCCCTAATTTGTCCAGCTACCATTTTAACTCATTTTTATCTCTAACATGGTGTACCAGAGACCACAATTTCCAAACTGGGTCTTTTTCATACTACAATACAGAAAGCAATAGTTTGATCGATTGTATTAAATTTTCCTTCTTCTTGTCCTGATATTGCAAGATCTTTACCAAATTTGAACGTATTATTACTGCCTAGTCTGTAGAAATGACTCATGGATTCTGTTTCACAGCAATCCTTCCCTCTTTCCAATCTATCGACTGTCTAAGCATGCCCCTTGTTTTGGAAATCTTAAAAGATTGTCATGCACCGATCAAGCAGCTGATAAAGAGCATCATATATTTTGTGCCACTGTCATAGAGTGTCGAATACGTTAAGTGTGTGCAAAACTAAGTTTTTGAAATCACATTTCTTTGGCCTTGCATTTCCTGATTTTCTTTGAGCATTAAGGATGCACTATTAGAGAAATGCCTTGTATGTTTGCTTCGAATGTTATCATTCGGAGGTGTGAGAGGCTAATTTGATTATTTATTAAATGACGGGTTTCTCTAAATACTCATTAGAAGTCTCAGACTTCAAAATCCTGCACGCTTTGCTCTGTACGCGAGCTTGGGAAGATGAATACTGTCGGTAAAAGCAGTTGTGTCCTTTTCATTTGCCAGCATTCTCCTGTCTTGCGTATTGGTAAATTGAAGTCTTGGGGGGTAAGGAACATATTCACTACTTTCCAAGATGGCTTTCGCTTTCTGAGATTTTGTTTTCATCTATTGGTAATTCTTTGAATTGTGATTTTCAGTGAGAAAACAAAAGTGAATTATGGATTGGGTTCTCTCCTACATGTTTATAAAAGCTCTGGCCTCGTTATCTCCCAGCGGCTTCAGTGACCCACCTCCAATGGATCAACATGCTGTGTAAGTATCAGATTCTCTTGGTTTCATTACGTATTGTGGTTTGGTGAAGTAAGAAAATAATATGTTCTTGAATATAAATAGATAAAATGCTAACTTAATAAAATTCAAATGATTAACATGAAGGAACCAAACGTACATAGACATGATTTAACCATAGAAAACAGGAAACCAACAGAAAATAAAATGACCAGCTATTCACAAAACACTTGCTGGTCATAGTTAAAGACAAATGAGAATAACTTCTACTACAAATGTCCACCTATCATAAAACCCACTAATTTGAAGAAACTCACAGAAACATCAACCACTAAGCATTTCCGATAACATAATCTACCAGAAAAGCTTGCGAAGGACCAAATCACATTCGGCTGTGGCAAAGTTAAAATCCACCAGTTGGATCATAAGCTTAAATGATTTTCCCCTCAGCCAAGCTAAGAGAATCCTGAAATTGTTGGTCCATTCTTTGTCTGTTGCCTCGATAATACGACTTGCAATCCAGCGGAACTTGCTTGTCACAAACAGAACAACAGTGTCATCACCTCCATTACCAACTATCATCCGCACCTCAAACTTCAGCTTCACGGCAGACCAGGAGACATTGACATCCTTCACTTGGGCATCAACAATATATGAAGTACCCTGCATTTGACACCAAAGATACTTTTCAATAACTTCAGAGTGATCAAAAGTCCACTCTTTTTGGTCACACGAACTGAACAAATAGATAACTACCTGGTTATTGATGTCAGTCTTATAGATGTTCAGTTCTGGAATGGAGCAGATGGTACTCATCCCTAGGGCTTCCTCCAAGGTATAGTTAATGGCCAATGGGACATTTTCTATACTGTTATACAATAGAACAGGAAACAGATAGAACCATAATTAGTGGAAGTTCCAATTTACTCATTCGCTAAGTGGTTTTCTAGAATAATGTAAACTTACTTATCCAACAGAGGGTGGAGGTGAGGATAATGCAAGTTCCAGTATAACTTTGTTGCATTTGTTCCAACGCAAAACTCTTGACCTGGCATCAACTCATAAACACATGGTATCAGTAAGACTAACTTTAAAAATATTAGGGAAAGTTCAAAGAAAAAGAATTGTTTATTACCATTGAAAGTATGAACTACCACCGAGGTGAACACAACTACGATTCCCGGAGGAGGATGATGAGGAATAACAGCTTGGAATTCGTCTATTAAATCATCCCATAAGACGATTTCCACAATAGCACCACTAATTTGAGGAAAAAAACAGATTAATGAATAAGACACAACTAAAATCCATAAGACATGCAAATCATCTTCAAACACAAAGCTTTTGACCACTCACTCAATGAATCGGAGGTGAACAGCCTTTCTCCTTAAAAGATCAACATCTTGGAATAGAGCTTCTTCCGGTCCAGCAGCTACAACCTGTCCAACTATGTCTGCCCAAATACAAATGTAAAGGGATTGAATAGGTAAACAACTATAAATTAAGATTCTAGGGCTCAATCAAATTACCAGACAGATAGGCATGGTTGTGGACGGCTTGAGGAAGATCCGCAGCTGCCAAAAAACGGAAGCTGTAGATTGGTATGTCAGGAGCATTTGCGGCTTCTTGAACCACTGTATCCTCTTGGAAGCAGATTCTGAGAGTAGGAGGTGAAACCCTATAGTAACCATGATACCCACGAACCACAAACTTGCGCAGTACGTAGATCCTTCCCTCCTGAAGAATGGGCAGAAACACTGGAACATGAGCTGTACCAACTAATCCCTGCATCTCCGTCCCCTACAAAATAAAGTGAATTTTAGTTTATTGTTTTATAGTGTCATGTCGACTCTAAAACAGTAAACTTCATCACTGCAAACTAATGAACAGAATAATACCTCGTTGTCTAGAAATAACATGTGGAGTTGGTGAATCCCAATGCCATCTGGGTTCATTGTTTTCCACAATCGCAGGATCCTCACGCGAACAGTGGCGTCATCTTGATGCAGATTCAGCTGGGATAAACTCAGGAAATCCATGGATGCTTTGA